TAAACTCCTAGCATCAATTTCTAAGTTTAATCCAAGTGTTAGAGTATAGGTTCATTGAGATCTATTAGAGATTGTAATCTATTCCCTCCTCCCTCTAGATTTTTTTTTCAACCCAGAGAATTTCTATTTTAAAATTATTCCAATTAAAATTAAGAATTACAGTGCTTTGGTACACTGTGTTTATTCCTATGGTTTAAAATAAAAGGGATAGGTCAGCGAAGCGGTATATCACAGAGAAAGAGACAATCTGTTCGAGGAGTGCAGTTGGCTAGGAGAAACAAATTGGTCACAAAGACATTCACCAGACTCAATCATTTAGTGAATGTAAATAGCACACCGATACATGACACACCCCACACATAGGGGCGTCCTCTGGATGCCCGAGAACCAGGTTTAGTAGGGTGAGAAGTATGAAACATATCATGCAAGTAGGGGCATGCACCTCCGGACTTGGAATCCACAATTGTCCTCTGGCCCATGGTCCTATTTTAATTGGGTATTCAGTGTTGGTTCCAGATTCTATAATCTAAGTTGGGTTCGACTTCAAATTCCTCCTCGTCATCTTCAAGTAATAAAGGGGATTGTGTTTTAACTGGGGTGGCGTAGGCAACAGGGCTAATTTGTGCTTCAATGGTGAATGGGCCAATAAAGGAATCTGATAGTTTTTTTTAAATTTTTTTAATTTTATTTTATTTTGGTAGTGTTTTAAATTCTAGAGCTTTGTCTGCAATTTGGTAGACTGGAGCTTTTTGCATGCTTTAGTGGTGTAGATTTTTTTGGGGGGGAATTTTCAAGGGTTGTTTGGTTTGTTTTATAAAGTCTGGAACTCTAGGGCAGTAGTAGGCAACCTTTTGGTAGTACTGCACCAAATCAAAAACTTTGAAGTCCTTTTGGTGTGCCGGCAATATTTTCAGGGGAATGAATGGTGAAGAAAGTTAATATTTTATTAATGATAAATACAAATGTTATTTTGAAAAGATCAGTTTAAGACCATAAACAAATTATTGATTGGTCTTTTTTCTTTTTTAATGTAATTTCTCATTACATTTACACTTGGTAAAAATATTTTAACGTGTTAACAAAAAACATAAAACCAACTTTTTTTCTCTTTTTTAAACAAAACAAACTTGTAAGATCCTTGTCCTTGTATTTTCTTGCTTAGTTCCTCTGTCAGGAACAGTGTGAAACTTTTTAAGTTTCACACAGGTTTCTGAATGAGCCGTTTGAGACAGTTTCGATGCAGATTCAAAATAAACTTCAGGTGAAAATATTTGCTCACAGATATGTTGATCCAAAGGCTGAAAGCAAATCAAATGCAATTTGTTGGTCCAACACTGCAGGATGGCAGCTGATCTATCTGTGCAATTTCCCTCCAGATTTTGCCGTAGTTTATTAAATTTTGTTCTCCATAACTCTGCCTTAACCCCTTAAGGACACATGACGTGTGACATGTCATGATTCCCTTATTCCAGAAGTTTAGTCCTTAAGGGGTTAAACTCAAAAAGCTGAATTTCGAAATCATCAACCTTCATCCATTCAAAAATAGTTAGATCAAATGGGGTGGATTCAGTTAAGTCAGGTTTGATAAGGAAATATGGATCTTAAAATCTTGACGTCGTTCTGTGAACTCCTTTTCTGAACGCCTCAATGTACTTCTGCAATTCTTCTGTGTTAACTGGAAAAGTAGCTGAATGTGCTTTTAAACTGGGAAAATACTAGTATGTTTCAATGGTGATATCATGACAATATACATGCAGTTTTTCCATGAATCCTTTCCAGATGAAATGTTTGTCCTTCTCCCTGTAACTGTAAATTCAGGTTGTTCGGGTGTGTGGTTATATCAGCAAGGAACATAAGCTTGCACAGCCAGTTAATCTCACTTAGGTCTGGAAAATGATTACCTTTTCACTGGTGAAACTCTTGATCTCGTCCAAGCATGCTATGAATCTGTTCAATACCTTGCCACGACTGAACCAAAGAACATTTATTATACAGAGGGAGATCAGAATATGAACTCTCCAGTAAAGACCTGAACTGTCAGTGGGTTAATGCAGAACGGCTAACACTAAAATCCACTATTTTCACAACTAATTCCATCACATAGTTAAAGGATGAAGATGAGAATTTCACGCACAATTTTTCTTGATGAGTTACGTAGTGGAAGTTCAGTACAGGACGACTAATGCATTCTTGGAGAAGTTTTACAAATACTTTGTTTTTTCCAACCATTTCAGGGGCACTGTCTGCAGTAATACAGGATGTTTTTTTTATTTTTTTATTATTTGAATCTATGCTCTGTTTTTCACAATAATTTGCAGACATAAGGTCCTCTCCTTTTGTTCATTGGAGTGATTTGAGGCAACACGATTCTTCATAAAAGCTCACCACTATGAAAATTATTGCAATGTCATTTACATCTACACTTTTATCCACAGCGGCACTAAAGACAAGCATTTGTGTGCCACTGCTAACTCTTCCGGGAGGCAGTCTTGATTCCACTCACATGATGACGTATTTAGGTGTAATGACATGTTCCGACTGCTTCATCAGATCTCAGTTCTCTGCTGCCTTTCGCTGAAAAGTCTGCCTAAATGGGCATGCTTAAGTGATCCTCATAGAGTTGTATACTTGATTTGGTTCCTTACCAGCACCATTTATGCAAATGGTCTCTCCACTCACTTTCACCAGCTCATTGTGCTATCACCCAGAATGTTATATTTCCCACAGTTATGTTATATATATAAATATACATTTATTTATTTTTCATACTAAAAACCACACAAGCACACATACAATTGCATGTGCATACATTTCACTTAATAAAGTAAGATTTAAATTTTTTATATTACATCCAGAAAAAAAATAACATTTAATTGAAAAAAAAATACAATACAAAAGTATGCAAAAAAAAAAAGCTGTGCCTATGAGGAAAGACAAATAAAATATCTATACAAATATTTATAGAAATTCACAACCAAGAGGAAAATCTTCAATAAAAACAAGGATAATTTCCAGGAAAAAACCTGTTAACCCCTTAAGGACCGAGGACAGTTCAGGACCTTCATTGGCATTTTAGCGTTGCCGACCTAACGGTCAGATGTACTTAATCGATCGTCATCGTTCCTCCGGGGGCGATCGGCAGTGCTCCCGGTGTGGGGAGACTGCCTGCAGCCCAGACAGTCTCACTGCGGCAGATTAGGACCCCTGTGGCCATGTGATCGCTCAACAGAGCGATCACATGGTCACAATAAGTGTCCATGTGTCTACCTGCAGGGGGACTGCCTGTGCTGACAGGCAGTCTCCCTGCTAGTGTAAAATTACCATGTAACATTCTAGGACACCCTAAAACCTGTACATGGGGGGTACAGTTTTACTCGGGAGACTTCGCTGAACACATATATTTTTTTATTTTTCTTTTTTCTTTTTTTCCATATCAGACATTACCAGCCTCTTATGTTCTTTACTACTTTGCGTCTCAGGCTTGGTATATTCGTCATCAATGTTCTTTCTCTCTCCTTTTTCCTATTAAATAACTTTAATTTATAGAAAACACATTATTAATAAACACACACAGACATAAAATAATCATACACAACATTCATACATGATGATGAAACCTTCTTCCCTCCTCTCTCTGCATTACTCTTCATAGTACTAATATATGAGCTAGCATTTCTCTTTTCTTTTCTCCTTTCTTTTTCTTTCCTTTTCTTTTCCCTTCCTTTCTTTACCTTTCCCTTCTTTTCCTCTCCCTTTCTTTTCTCTCTTCCTTTCTTCCTTCCCTTCCTCTTCTCTATCTATTAATCTACTACCAACAGTTTTTCTAACCACTTATTTATGTGGAAGATTTTTTTTTCCCTTCAGATTTCCATTCAAACCTCCCTCCATCTTAAGTTCCGAAATTTAATAAGTTTTTTACTATGTCCTAATTTGGGAGGGTTTTAGTTCTCCACCTTTTAGCTATGGAGAGTTTTGCTGCTATTAATGCATGGGCAAGAAAATATTGCAAATCCACATTATACTGATAAATATTTAAGTGTAATAAGCACATTTCTGGGGCAATAGGAAAATTAAATCCAGTTATCTTTTCTATTTTAAACAAGAACATTTTCCAGAATTCTTTAAGTGGGGGGCAACTCCACCAAATATGTAGGGAGTCTCCCACTCCCCCTTCACATCTCCAGCATGTATCTGTTTTATTCTGGTCTATTTTTTTTAGACGACTAGGAACCAAGTAGAGTCTATTAATAATCTTAAAATGTAGTTCCACTAAATTTAAACATTTAATGCGCCTAGCAACTGTCAACCATGCTGTATTCCACTCTTGAGCATCACTTTTTTGTATTTTTAGATTTTTCTCCCATTTTATCATCGCTGGAAATGTCAGGTCGCCCTCTAGTTGTCTTAATACCGAATTACACTTATTTAATAAATTTTTGATGTCCTTTCCTTTCAGTAAATTTCCTAATTTATTGTTAAATTCCCATTTCTCTTTATTTAAAGTTTTATTCAGATAGCTTTTAATCCTCATGTAATTAAATTTCTCAGTTTCGGGAAGACTGAAATTTGTGCATATTTGTTCACCCAGGGTCCTGTTGTTATATCTTCTATGGTTTGTATACCTGCTCTTCTCCATTTATTTAAACTTAGGTCTCGCATATTATTTTCCAATATTGATATCGGTAGAGTATTAATAATGTGGTTTTTAAATCCTGCACTTTTTTTT